TTTTGTTTTAAAGTCTATTTTATCTGAGATTAGTATTGCCACTCCTGCTCTTTTTTGGTAGTTGTTAGCTTGATATATTTTTTTCCAACCTCCATCTTCTTTTGATGCTTCCTGTGTTCTTTAATATTTTTCCTGTAGAATCCTTCAGTATAGCAACTCAAGGCTTGAATTCTTTCTTCAGTTCTTTCCACTTGAGATATTCTGTGCATGTTCTTCCCTTTTGATTCTCTATCTCCAGGTCTTTGCACATTTCTTCATAATACTTTGTCTTCTCGAGCCACCCTTTGAAATCTTCTGTTTAGCTCTTTTATTTCATCATTTTTTTCTTTTGCTTTAGCTACTCTATGTTCAAGAGCAAGTTTCAGAGTCTCTTCTAACATCCATTTAGGTCTTTTCTTTCTCTCTTGTCTTTTTAAGGACCTTGCTTTCTTCACGTATGATGTCCTTGATGTCATTCCACAAGTTGTCTTGTCTTCGGTCATTAGTGTTCAACATCACAAATCTATTCTTGAGATGATCTCTAAATTCAGGTGGAATATACTCAGGGTAGTACTTCATCTCTTGTGGACTTGTCCTAGTTTTCTTCAGCTTCCACTTGAACTTGCATGTGAGTGATTGATGGTCTGATCCACAGTTGGGCCCTGGCGTTGTTCTAACTGATAATATTGAGCTTTTCCATCATCTCTTTCCCCAGATGTAGTTGATTTGATTCCTGTGTATTCCATTTGGTGAGTCCATGTGTGTAGTTGCCGTTTATGTTGGTGAGAAAAGGTATTTGTAATGAAGAAGTCGTTGGTCTTTCAAAATTCAGTCAGATCTTCTGGCATCATTTCTGTCACCAAGGCCATATTTTCCAACTACTGATCCTTCTTCTTTGTTTCCAACTTCCACATTCCAATCACCAGTAGTTATCAGTGCATCCTGATTGCATGTTCGATCAATTTCAGACTGCAGAAGTTGGTAAAAATCTTCAATTTCTTCATCTTTAGCCTTAGTGGTTGGTGTGTAAATTTGAATTATAGTTGTATTAACTGGTCTTTCTTATAGGCTTATGGCTAATATCTATCACTGACAGTGTTGTACTTCAGGATAGACCTTGAAATGTACTTTTTGATGATGAATGCAAGGCTATTCCCCTTCAAGTTGTCATTCCCGGCACAGAAGACCATATGATTGTCCGATTCAAAAGACCAATACCAGTCCATTTCAGCTCACTAATGCCTACGATATTGATCTTTACGCGTTCCATTTCATTGTTGACAATTTCCAGTTTTCTTAGATTTCCAGTTTCCTAGGAAGAAGTACCTGGTGGTCTACTTCTGAAAAGAATTAGCCAGTGAAAACTTAATGAATACCAGGGAAACATTGTCTATTGCTAGAGATTTGCCCATTTTTGTCTAGAATATATAATCATACACTTTGTTTTTTTTTTTTGACTGACCTCATTCACGTAGTATAATGTTTTTAAGGTTCATCTATATTGTAACATGTATCATTACTCAATTCTTTTTTTATTGTTGAAAGTTCTACTTTATGGATATAGCACACTTTGTTTATCCATTCATCAGTTAATGGACATTTGGGATATTTTCACTCTTTCAGTATTATACATAAGGCTGTTATGAACATTCATGTACACATTTTTGTGTGAACATAAGTTTTCATTTTCCTTCAGTATGTACCTAGGAGTTGTATTGCTGGGGAGTCCCTGGGTGGCACAGATGGTTAAGTGCTCGGCTACTCACTAAAAGGTTGGCGATTCAAACCCACCCAGAATCATCTTGGAAGAAAGACTTGGTGATCTGCTTCCAAAAGATCACAGCCTTTGAAAGCCATATGAAATGCAATTCTACTCTGAAACACATGGGGTCACCATAAATTGGAATTGACTCACTGGCAAATGGCTCATTTTATTTTGTTTTTTGGTATTGCCAGGTCATATGGTAACTGTTTAACCTTTTAATGTTTTCTAAAGGATACGAATCATTTTTCATCTCTTTCAGCAGTTTTTGAGGGTTCTGATTTCTCTATATCCCTGCCAACACTTATTTTCTGTTGTTGTTTGTTTAGGTTTTTTATTTTCTTTTTTAGCTGTTTTTTTTTTTTTTTATATCTATGTAATGGATGAGAAATATTACCTCCTTTTTTTTTTTAATTCGTATTTCCCTAATAACTGATTTTAAGCATCTTCTTATGTGTTTTTGGCCATTTGTAAATCTTCTTTGGAGAAATGTCTATTTAAATCCTTTGCCCGTTTTTTAATTAGGTTATTTGTCTTTTAATTTTTTGAGTTGTCATCTTTATATATTGTAGATACAGATGTCAGATATATGATTTGGAAGTATTTTCTCCTGTTCCGTGGATTGTCTTCTCATTTTCCTGATGGTATTATTTGTGGCACAGAAGTTCTTCATTTTGACTAAATCCAAGTTATCTATTTTTTGTTGTTGTTGTTGTTGCCTGTGCATTTGGTGGCCTTTTTGAGAAACCATTGTCTAACTCAAGGTCACCAAGACATACTCATATGTTTTGTTCTAAAAGTATTACAGTTTTAGCTCTTACATTTAGTCTGTGATCCATTTTTACTTAATCTTTGTATATGGTACGAGGTGAGGATTAGCAACATCATAATAAATGGAGAAAATACTGAAGTCGTCAAGAATTCCTTTTTACTTGGATCCACAACTAAGGCCCATGGGAGCTGCAGTCAAGAAATCAAGCAATGCATTGCATTGGGGAAATTGACTGCAAAAGGCATCTTTAAAGTGTTAAAAAGCAAAGATGTCACTTTGAGGATGATGGTGTGCCTGACACACCCCAGGGTATTTTCAGTCACCTTAAGCATGCAAAAGCTGGACAGTGTCTAAGGAAGACCAAAGAAGAATTGATGCCTTTGAATTATGGTGTTGGTGAAGAATATTGAATATACTGTGGAGTGCCAGAAGAATGAACAAATCTGCTTTGGAAAAGTACAGCCAGAGTGCTCCTTAGAAACGAGGCTAGCAGGACTTCATCTCACATGTTTTAGACATGAAGAAGAACGGGGCATCAGGATTAGAAAAAAGACTGATTAACAACCTGTGTTATGCAGATGACACAACCTTGCTTGCTAAAAGTGAAGAGGACTTGAAGCACTTACTGATGAATATCGAAGACTACAGCTTTCAGTATGGAGTACACCTCAACATAAAGAAAACAAAAATCTCACAACTGGACCAGTAAACAACATGATAAACAGAGAAAAGATGGAAGGTGTTGAAGATTTAATTTTACTTATATCCACAGTCAGCACCCATAGAAGCAGCACTCAAGAAATCAAATAACACATTGCATTTGGCAAATCTGCTGCAGAAGACTTCTTTAAAGTGTTGAAAAGCAAAGATGTCACCTTGAAGACAAAGGTGCACCTGACCCAAGCCATGATGTTTTCAATCGCCTCATGTGCATGCAAAAGCTGGATGAAGAATAAGGAAGGCTGAAGAAGAATTGATGCCTTTGAATTGTGGTGTTGGCAAAGAGTACTGAATATCCATGAACTGCTAAAAGAACAAACAAATCTGTCTTGGAAGAAGTCCATCCAGAATGCTCATTAGAAGCAAGGATGGTAAAACTGTGTCTCACATATTTTGGACACTTTATCAGGAGGGATCAGTCCTGGAGAAGGACATCATGCTTGGTAAAGTAGAGGGTCAGTGAAAAAGAGGAAGAGTCACAAAGAGATGGATTGACACAGTGGTTGTAACGATGGGCTCAAGCATAACAATGATTGTGAGAGTGGTGCAGGACAGGGCAGTGTTTCGTTCTGTTGTACGTGGGGTCACTGTGAGTTGGAACCTATTCGACAGCACCTAACAACAACAACAATCAGGAGGGACCAGTCCCTGCTCCCTAGAGAAGGACATCACGCTTGTCCAATGAGATGGATTGACAACAGTGGCTGCAACAATGAGCCCAGACATAGCAATGATTGTGAGGATGGCACAGGACTGGGCAATGTATCATTCTGTTGTACATAGGGTCATTATGAGTTGGAACCAGCTCAATAGCAACTAACAACAACAACATTCCCATTTTGAAGATGTGAATACAGCATCAAAGAGTTACATAACTTGCTCAGATAATATAGCTAGGGAGTGGTGAAAGAAACTATAGTCCAGTTTACCTCCATAGTCCATGCTGATTTCATTACCCTACAATTGCATATTTGTACTCTGTGTGTCAGAATCAACTCAGTAGCAATGGGTTGGGTTTTTTGGTTACATAATTGCATTCATTTGGTTCAAAGTTAAACTGTCTAATGGGGAAATTGCCTGTCATGTGTTACATCAAGTTTATATGACTTATGCAGGAGAAAATTGACTTCTTAGCACTAAAACAAAAACTTTTCCCTTTTAATTAAACAACAGTTATAAATTAACTTGTTAAGATAAATTATTACAAGCATAAAGTACATTACTTATAGGCAGAATTAAATATTTTTCTGACGTCAACAATTGTTTTTTAGAGGCTTATAGAACAGCGTGATACTCTAAAAGAAACAAATGAAGAGCTTCGATGTTCGAAAGTACAACAAGATCACCTAAACCAAACAGGTGAATTTTGTTAAATTTACAAAAGGTTTTTTTTTTTTTTTTTTTGATCTTTCTTCTTAGTGGTAGAAAAGACATACTGAAATGTTAATCTAGTTTTTTTGTTGTTGTTTAGATACATCTGCCACAAAAAGTTATGAGAATCTTGCTGCTGAAATTATGCCCGTGGAATATAGGTAATTTTTTTTTAATTAACTGATAATCTGTATTTAAAAATATTAGAAATGTGATTTTTTTTATACGTCTTTTAAAATTTTTTATTGTATGAGTCATAGTTATAAAAATTATTTTATCTCCTTATACTTTGTAAGTTAGATTGTTATTGCTGCCACAACAATTTTAAAATTTATCAGATGTGTAAATTGCACTATCTGAATAATATATTCTGGTTTTCATAGCATGGGCTTTATTATGTTGAAATTATTTATTTTCCTATTCGTTAACTCTATGGAAAAACCTTTCAGTATATGGCATTCAAATCCACGTGAGTGAAAGTTAAAAACTCTCAATAATAGGAGGAGAATTAAAGAGAAATAAAGTATAAATTTTAGAGGTTTCTCTTGACCTCAGTTTTATCTTGGTCTTTCATTGCTGTGTTTACTTCTAGCCATTTGACTAACCTGGCGTTTTTATGGTTTTCTTTTCATTTTGGGGTGGGGGGTGGACAGAATGGGCAATAAATTCACTTATTTATTATTTACAATTTTCTTCGCTCTTTTCATTCAGATATAATTCATGTACCATATGATTCACCCATTTAAAAGGTACAATTCACTGAGTTTTAGTATATTCACATAATTGTGTAACTATTACTACTATCTAATTTTAGAACATTTCTATCACCCCAAAAAGAAACCTCATACCCATTAGCAGTATTTCCCAGTCCTACCTTTACCCTCACATCAGCCTCAAGCAACCATTAATTTTTCTGTCTCTGTAGATTTCCCTATTCTGGAGATTTCATATAAGTGGGCTCATACATTACATGGTCTTTTGTGACTGGATTCTTTCATTTAGCATATTTTTTCAAGATTTATCCATAGTGTAGCATGTACTTAATTCTTTTTTATTGCTGAATTATATTCCATATATAATTAGGAACAAGGACCTGGCGATCTACTTCTAAAAGTGTGGCCAGTGAAAACCTTATGAATAGCAGTGGAACATTGTCTGATGTAGTGCCAGAAGATGAGCCCCTCAGGTTGGAAGCCCTCAAAAGACAACTGGGGAAGAGCTTCCTCCTCAAAGTAGAGTCGACTTAAATGACATGGATGGGGTAAAGCTTTCGGAACCTTCATTTGCTGATGTGGCACGATTCAAAATGAGAAGAAACAGCTGCAAGCATCCATTAGTTATTGGAACGTGGAATGCATGAAGTATGAACCTAGGAAAATTGGAAGTTGTCCAAAACTGAAATGGAATGCATAAAGATTGATACCCAGACATTAGTAAGCTGAAATGGACTGGTATTAGCCACATTGAATCTGACGATCATATGGTATAGTATGCCGGGAATGACAAATTAAAGAAAAATGAGGTCACATTCATTGTCAAAAAGAACATTTCAAGATCTGTCCTGAAGTACAGCCCTGTCAGTGATAGGATATTATCCATACACCTATAAGAAAGACCAGTTAATATGACTGTTATTCAAATTTACCAACCAACCACAACCACTAGGGCCAAAGATGAAGAAATTGAAGATTTTTACCAACTTCTGTAGTCTGAAATTGATCAAACCTGCAGACAAGATGCATTGATAATTACTGGTGATTGGAATGTGAAAGTTGGAAACAAAGAAGAAAGATCAGTAGTTGGAAAATAAGGCCTTGGTGATAGAAATGGTGCCAGAGATCACATGATGGAATTTTGCAAGACCAATGAACTATTCTTTGGAAATACCTTTTTTCAGTAACATAAATGGCAACTATACACGTGGACCTCTCTGGATGGAATGTACAGAAATCAGATCAACTACATCTGTGGAAAGAGATGATGGAAAAGCTCAATGTCATCAGTCAGAACAAGGCCAAGGGCCGACTGAGGAATAGACCATCAGTTGCTCAAATGCAAGTTCAAGGTGAAGCCGAAGAAAATTAAAACAAGTCTATGAGAGCCAAACTACGACCTTGAGTATATCCCACCTGAATTTAGAGACTATTTCAAAAGTAGTTTTGACACATTGGCCACTAATGACCAAAGACCAGACAAGTTGTTGGATGACATCAAGAACATCATACTTGAAGAAAGGAAAAGGTCATTAAAAAGACAGGAAAGGAAGAAAAGACGAAAATGGATGTCAGAAGAGACTCTGAAATTGAGCTTGAATGTAGAGTAGCTAAAGTGACTGGAAGAAATGATGAAGTAAAAGAGCTGAACAGAAGATTTCAAAGGGCAGCTTGAGAAGACAAAGTAGTAGTATAATGACATGTGAAAGACCTGGAGTTAGAAAGCCAAAAGGGAAGAACACGCTCAGCATTTCTCAAGCTGAAAGAACTGAAGAAAACAGTTAAGCCTCGAGTTCCAATATTGAAGGATTCTACAAGGAAAACATTGAACGATACAGGAAGTATTAAAAGAAGATGGAGGGAATACACATAGTTACTGTACTAAAAAGAATTGGTTGATGTTTATCCATTTCAGGAGGTAGCATATGATCCAATGGTATTGAACTGATGGTACTGAAGGAAGAAGTCCAGGCTGCACTGAAGGCATTGGTGAGAAACAAGGCCACAGAAATTGATGGAATACCAGTTCAGATGTTTCAACAAATGGATGCAACGCTGTAAGTGCTCACTCGTCTATGCTAAGAAATTTGGAAGGCAGTTACCTGGTTAACTGACTGGAAGAGGTCCATATTTGCGCCCATTCCAAAGAAAGGTGACCTAACAGAATGCAAAAATTATCTAACAGTATCGTTAATATCACACGTGAGTAAAATTTTGTTGAAGATCATTCAAAATTGTTTGCAGCAGTACATCGACAGGGAACTGCTAGAAATTTAAGCTGGATTTAGAAGAGGACGTGGAACGAGGGATATCATTGTTGATGTCAGATGGATCTTGACTGAAGGTAGAGAATACCAGAAGGATGTTTACCTGTGTTTTATTGACTATGCAAAGGCATTCGACTGTGGATTATAACAAATTATGGATAACATTGCAAAGAATGGGAATTCAGAACACTTAATTGTGCTCACGTGGAATCTGTGCATAGACCAAGAGGCAGTTGTTCAAACAGGACAGGGGTATGCTGTGTGGTTTAAAATCAGGAGAAGTGTGCGTCAGGGTTGTATCCTTTCACCATACTTATTCAGTCTGTATGCTGAGCAAATTATCCAAGAAGCTGGACTATATGAATAGGAATGCAACATCAGGTTTGGAGGAAGACTCATTAACAACCTGTGATATGCAGATAACACAACCTTACTTGTTGAAAGCAAAGAGAACTCAAAGCATTTACTGATGAAGATCAGAGACCACAGCTTTCAGTATGGATTGCACCTCAACATAAAGAAAACAAAAATCCCCACAACTGGACCAATAAGCAACATCATGATAAGTGGAGAAAAGATTGAAGTTGACAAGGATTTCATTTTACTTGGATGCACAGTCAACATTCATGGAAGCACCAGTCAAGAGATCAAATGACGCATTGCATTGGCAAAGATGTCACTTTGAGGACTAAGGTGCACCTGAACCAAGCCAGGGTATTTTCAGTTGTCATATATGCATGTTAAAGCTGGACAATGAAGGAAGACCTAAGAAGAACTGAGGCATTTGAATTATGGTGTTAACGAAGAGTATTGAATATACAGTGGACTGCCAGAAGCACAAAGAAATCTGTCTTGGAAGAAGGACAGACAGAATGCTCCTTAGAAGCGAGGATGGTGAGACTTAGTGTCACGTGCTTTGGACATGTTATCAAGAGGGATCAGTCTCTGGAGAACGGCATCATGATTGGTAAAATAGAAGGTCAGTGAAAAAGAGAAAGGCTCTCAATGGCATGTATTAACATAGTCCCTGCAAGGATGGGCTGAAACAGCAACAGTTGTGAGGATGGCGCAGGACCGGACAGTGTTTTGTTGTGTTGTATTTAGGGTCGGTATGAGTCAGAACCGATTCGGCTGCACTTAACAATAACAGTCATATGGATAATATCACATTTTGTTTATCCATTCATTAGTTGATCGACATTTGGGTTGTTCCCACCTTTTTGTTACTACGACTAGTACCACTGTGTGCGTTCATGTACAAAGTTTTGTGCAGCTATAGCTCTTCAGTTCATACCTAGGAGTAGAATTATTGGGTTATATGGTAACTATATTTAATATTTTAAAGAGCTGCCATACTCTTTTCTAAAGAGGTTGAACCATTTTTCGTACTTACCAGTAATGTATGAGGGTTCCGATTTTTTCATATTCTTGTGAGAGCTTGTTAATATGTCTTTTTTAATGTAGCCATCATAGTGAGTGTGAAGTGGTATTTCATTGTGGTTTTGATTTACATTTCAACGTTGACCATCTTTTTATGTGCTTAATGACCGTTTGCATATCTTCTCTGGAGAAATGTCTATCCAAATATTTTGCCCATTTTTTAATTAGGTTATTTGTCTTTTTATTATTGAGTGTTAAGAATCCTTTATATATTCTCGATATAAGTCCCTTATCAGATATGTGATTTGTAAATATTTTCTCCCAATTTCATAGGTTGTCTTTTCGGTTTCTTAATGGTATTACCTGTAGTACAATAGTTTTTAATTTTCATGAAGCCCAAGTTATCTCAGTTTTTCTTTTGTTTGTGCTTTTGGTGTCATTTATGAGAAAAACATCAACTAACTTAAGGTTGCAAAGATTTGGGAGTTTTATAGTTTTAGCTATTATATTTAGTCTGTGATCCATTATGAGTTAATTTTTATACATGTTATGAAATAGGGTTCAACTTCATTGTTTTGCATGTGGATATCCTGTTGTTCCAGCACCATTTGTTGAAAAGTCCTTTTGTCTTTATACATCAGTTTTCAAAATTGAATTCTATATTTTATTTTCTCATAATTTTTAACTAAAATCATTTTAGAGAAACTGGATCATCACTGAAATTATATTAAATATTTGATCCTAAGATAGATCCCTGGATGTGGACTTTTTAGGTATTAACATCTATTTGTTTTGGAAAGTTCTCCCAGTCCATTTTACAAATACCTAAAAATACTCTTGTCACTTCTTGCTAGGAGGTGAGGTCATGTGCTACAGAATAGGGAAAAACAAAACAAAACAAAACACTGTCTAAAGTTTATGCAAAGTTGCTGTAACTATTACTATGGGGCCCTGGTGGCATAGTGGTTAAGAACTCAGGCTGCTAACCAAAAAAGGCTGAGAGATGAAATCCACTAGCTGCTCCTTGGAAACCCTGTGGGGCAGTTCTGTTCTGACCTTTAGGGTCGCTATGAGTCAGAATTGACTCAGCTACAGCAGATTTGGTTTGGTTTTTTTATGGAGGTTTAAATATGTTATGAAAATTATAAAAGTATTAGAAGATGAAAAACAATATAACTAATAAACGTGGTATTGTATAAAGAGATTAGTTACTTACCTGTCTTAGTGCGGGAGTCAGTCATTATTCTAAAATTGATAATGCAAAAAATAAGAGGCTGTAGTTTAGAGTTATGGTGCTAGCATTCTGAAGAACAAAAATTGGGATAGATTGAAATTAGTTGGCTTTGAGGAATGGAATTTGTAAGGGCAGCAGCTGGAAGAGTATTACTTCTCATTTAATACCTTTCCTATTTACATTTAAAATAAAGTGCATGTAAACCTTTAATAATTTTTCCCCACAATTAAAAGTTTAGATACTGTTTTATTACCATCATAAAAGTATATTAAAAGTTTTAGGCAAACTAGAGTCTCCTTAAATCTATTGATTTTTATTTTTATGTTTTCTAAGAATATACTTTATGTTGCCCTTTGGTGAATAGTTTCTAAATTATGGAAGTAAAGTTATTCACGTTGTTTCTTTGGAATTTGCATAATAAATATTTAATGAAATATAATATAATCCTATACCTATACTTTAAAAATTTTACTACTTTTTTTTTTGAGGTACAGTCTTGCAATGTACATTTTTCAAAAACAGTAGTTTAATATGGCAGCTTGAGTAGACAAGAATTTACTCTTTAAAAAAGTTAAGAATGTAAAGACTATTACTTTTTAAAAATTAAAATACAAATTTTGCTTTTCAACATCAGGGAAGTATTTATTCGACTGCAACATGAAAATAAGATGCTTCGCTTACAACAGGAAGGGACTGAGAATGAACGTATTGAAGAACTTCAGGAGCAGCTGGAACAGAAGCACCGTAAAATGAATGAATTGGAAACTGATCAAAGGTGACAGGCTTCTTTATAATTTAACAGCATGGTAATTTTATTACCTAACCACAAATCTTGGTTCACAGAACTGGAATATAGTATTATAGTTAAATTAATTAGGGTTTTGTAGAATTCTGAAGTTTTTGTTTGTTTATAGTCTCTCACTACTATAAGCTTCACCCCATAAAACAAGTCAAGTGATTGATTTCATCACAGAACTAATGGACTCATGGATGATCCATTAATTTTAGCAGGCTTCATCAACCAAGCTGTTCATTTAGATATCTTCACAATTGACAGAAAAGTTAACATATGAATAAATGACAGTCTGGCTCTCTACTGGGTCTGGTGCATTAAACCAAAATCAGTGGGACATAGATTTTAGAGTCCAGTATGAATCCCACCTCTAGTTTACTAATAGTTTTGTTCTGGGCAAGTTACTTAAGCTCTCTCACTGTTGGTATTCTCAGCTATAAATTGGGAGTGATACTCATTTGCAAGTTGTTATGAAGATTAAAGAATATGTGCTTAAAGCAACTGGTACTTGTACAAATGAGGCACTCAGAAATTATAATAATAATAAAAATAGGTAACATTTGTGTAGCCTTATGTGCCAGGCACTTTTCTAGCTACTTTGTGTTTATTTGTATTCTGTCTTTTATGTATAAGGAAGACAAGGATAAGTAACTTACCCAAGGTTACAGAGCTAGTCAGTCATGGATCCTACATTTGAAAATGGTCAGTCTGGCTCCTGAGTCTCTTGCTCTTAACCATTATGTTAACCTGCCTCTTATAAATAGCACTCTTGCTGTCAAGTATATTTGGATTGATTTGTCTAGGCTTTATTGAACCTTGAAGACCACCAGAAGTCTGAGACACTTGAACCTTGTCTCTCGCAAACTTTTGTGCATACTGTTAAATCAACTGTAGTTAAAAGAAGAATAACATTTTAACTTTCTGCTGACATCATTAAATATTAAAATCTAATACAGTTTAATACCATTTGCTAGCACTGGAGATACTAATTTTCAGTTTTTAGGAAAAGAATAATAGGAAGACAGGTGAATAGATAATTATTACATATGTGATAACTACAATAATGGAAATATTATGATAGGCAGTTATATGTGTCTTACATAGAGAGAGACAGAGAGATACTAACTCTTGCTGGTAACTTCCAGTGTAGACAACTTTCAAGCAGGATTTGAAAGAATGCAATTTTGCCAGTTTAAAACCTGCACTAGTTGCTTGTGCCAATCTCTTGGGAAAAAAAAAAAAAGTCACACAGAAGTGGTGGGAAAATGGTGATCTTTCCTTTCCCCCAATACATCTTGAGATCTGAAATAGAAAAAGGAAATCTAGTTTCTATTTATTATAGATAGAACTATAGGAAAATTAAGCTAGATTTCTAATTTTTTTTACCAGAGAGTACAGTGAAGAAATGTTACATTTTTGCCACTGATACATAAGTAGTTAAATTTTTAAATTTGAGTATGTATGCTTTACAGATAAATTTTTTTTTTTTTTTAAGTATTTCCTTGGAGGTAACTTACTGTACTAGGTATTGCACCAAACTACAGATAATTACTCAGCATTTGTAATTGCTATTAAATGTTGGTTTTATGAATTAAATTAATTGCATGGATGCACCTTTAAATTGTAGATCCTTAACTGCTTTGTTGCAGCCACTGTGTCAGTTCATCTCATCAAGGGTCTTCCTCTTTTTTGCTGACCCTCTTCTTTATCAAACATGATGTTCCCCAGGGACTGATCCCTCCTGATTACATGTCCAAAGTACATGAGACCAAGCCTTGCCATCCTTGAAGCCAAGGAGTGGTCTGGCTGTACTTCTTCCAAGACAGACTTGTTTGTTCTTCTGGCGGTCCATGGTATATTCAGTATTCTTTGACAACACCATAATTGAAAGACATCAGTTCTTCTTCGGTCTTCTTGTTCATTGACACAGTGGCTGCAGCAGTGGGCTCAAACATAGCAGTGATTGTGAGAGGATGGCACAGGACCAGGCAGTGTTTCGTTCTGTTGTACATAGGGTTGCTATGAGTCGGAACTGACTCAAAGATACCTAACAACAACTACTTTGACTTTTAATACAAATGAGTACATATGACTCATCTTACAATAGGCTGAGCCAAGAACGCATCCGAGAATTACAGCAGCAGATTGAGGACCTCCAGAAGTCTTTACAGGAGCAAGATGCAAAGTCTGAAGGTGAAACTGTAAGTAACTTAAAAATTATACTAATTTTACTGTGTATAGACTCTGTAATAGCAGGTCCTGATGCCCAAAGTAATCTAGTAGACGAATGCACCACCCTTATCATTGAGGGTACCATTAAATACCGTATATATCTGCATAACAGATGCAGTGATTTTGCCTCCTTGGAGTCTATAAATTGATCACATGTACTGTAAGGTGATTTCTGCCTGCCCTACTTCAACAGCTGCATCTAAGTTCACGGTAATTCTTGATTGAGACCATGCTACTATTGAAACCTTCACAGTTCTGCCTGGATTCTAACAGTGCTGGCCTGAGAAAAAACTCAAATGAGCATTAGGCTTGTCTGAGAAAAAACTCAAATGAGCATTATCAACAGTCACAATTGAAGAAACTTTCTGAAAGGAAATTAGAAAAGACAAATTGATTTCTGCCAAAAGAGCATTCAAAAAATGGATTATACCAGCCTCTGAAGGACAGAAACATTAGTACAATCTTAGAGACTTCACCCCCTTATTTCCTCCCTCCTTCCGTACCAACTCATGGTCTTGCCATTTTCTAATGGTTTTTGATGGCTGATATTGGTGGACTTGAGAGAGATCAAACTTAGCGTAACTCTGAATATACTTAGCAATTTCTTTATAGTTTGATCTCCATATGTGTAGGGGGAAAGAAGCTGTGATTGAGAAACGTATTATATTTCATTCAAAACAGCAACAAAAATGATAGGGCTAGATGTGTGTTAGATAATGATTGGGATTAGAGAGAATGTTAGGTGATTATACTTGTGCTGATAGGGAAGGAAACTATGCAGAGTGAGTGATGAAATGAAAAGGAAGATTGAAAGAGTAGCATTTCCTTTCTGTATTTTATATCCTTTATATGATTTTCTCTTTTTTTCCTGGGGGCTTGGAAAATAGAAATCGTCTCATGCATGGCGGCATCTCATATGTGCATATATACGGTATTGTAACCTCTCTAATACAAATTTTTTTTAGCCTTATTAAGGAAGACTTTTCAAATGGAATCATTTTCAGTACTAAATTTTGGATTAAAATATTATAAAGGGTTTAAATTTCTTGATCTTTTGTTTCTTAATTTATTGGTGTCCAAATTATATTTCAGATTACACATTTTAAACCTTTCATCTATTCAGTAGATTCAGAACTACTACTGTAATTTAAATTTTTTTGAAGATGAATTTTTATTTTCTGAATTTTTGTTTTTTAACAAAATCCAATTGCCTGCTTAAGAGTAAAGTGCTTGCTTTTATAATGATACAACATTTGTGTTAATATTGAACTGTTTTCATTTCAATGACGGTGTTTAAATAATTATTTCAGTAAAGTCTGTTCTTCTTTAAAGGCCTAAAACCTTAAAATTTGTATTTTAAACAAATAACTCTTTAGGTATCTAAATGTTTGATACTCCTCAATATATCACATTCAGCTTGTACTTGCTATTTTTTCTTCAAGTATAAATATTATTTTTTTAAATTTAGAAATACTAAGCATTTTTTCCTGCCATTTCATTTATCTTCCCTATTTCATTTCCTATTTGTTTTGCTTTGAAGTAGAAGATACCTAAAATGTTACGTTTTCATAAGTATATTATTAAAAGTACAAACTTTTAAAACATTTATATTATTAAACAGTACACCTTCAAAAGGAGGTAAAATTTTTTTGATATCTGGAAAACTTGGTCAAGATAAACTTTTACAGCACCTTTTTTTAACTTTATAGTCCAGCAAACTAAAGCAGAAGTTGGAAGCTCATATGTAAGTAAATCTGATATTTCATTTCAAATATGAAAGGGGAAGTGTTGTAAACACGTCTAGAATTAATATCCTTTTCTGATTTTGTTTATACAAGTAGATCTCCTCATGCTAAGCTGAATGTTCACCACTGCCATCAACAAATAAAAACATGCTAAAAGATTTAGACTGCCTCGAACAATCCCCCACACCTACATTTTTCTGTTGCCGTTTGAAGAGTTTAACAAGCAGACAAGTAGAACAGTTATATTATGTAAAAACATGGGATGTTAAACCTATGAATATTTCCTTTTACTTTCTTGGAAATGAGAGTTGCCAGGCGGAAAGAATATAACACTTTTTAGCACCCAGCATGCGCCAGGCAGTTTACATCCTCACAACACCACCTAGAATTAGACAGGTATCATTCCCATTTCACAGGTGAGGAAGCTAAGGGTGAGAAAGTGCCTTGCCCACAGTCCACAAATGTTACATGACAGAGACCAGTTTTCATTCTTAGATGTGTTTGACTCCAAAGCCCCATGCTGTTTCTGCTACTTAGGGAAAAACTAACAGAGGTCCATGAAGAATTACAGAAGAAACAAGAGCTCATTGAAGATCTTCAGCCAGATGTAAACCAGAATGGTAGGTATTTGTAAAAGTCTGGATAGGATGATATGTAAGGGCTTTATTTAGTTGAAGGATGCAAGAACTATATATAAGTCTTTGAACAATGCAGTTATATATATACATTGAAAATAAGAACTATGTTAATTTTTAGTGAAGTCATTAATAAATGATCTAATCTTGAAACAGAAAATGTAAATTTGATAAAATGAACTAACTGATATATAGGAGTATCAAACATTGTAAAACATAATAGAATTAATAATGTGGAAATTTAAATAAAATGATTTAAAATTAGATAACAATGAACTTCAAAGCGTTATGTAGAAGTAATGCCTTATTTGCTCTTATTGTGATTGTGCTCACATTGTAAGGTGTATTTGCTTATTGGGATACTTGATAGAAAGGAGAAAAATAACTGGATCAAGCAGATTAATAGTCGTTTTTGTGAGAAGCAAATTAGTAAGAAATGATCAAGATTGTAGTTAAGAAGTTTTAGATGAGAGTTCACTAAAAAGAAGAAATGGAAAATTTCTCAAGTTCCCTTGCCAGTCTTTAGAAAAATAAGTATGATAAATAGAATTTTTTATGTGAGGATGAAGTGTTTTAAATAGGAAGTGATTAGTTATATTGTATTAATTTTCATTAATAGTACAAAAGATCAGTGAACTTGAAGCTGCTCTTCAGAAGAAAGATGAAGACATGAAAGCAATGGAGGAAAGATACAAAATGTACTTGGAGAAAGCAAGAAATGTGAGTAGGTTAGCTTTCAGAACTCAAGTCTTTGTGGCCGATGTTCTATTAAACCTATTGTACCTGGTTGTACTGCTATTCCTGCATCTGTATCAAGTCGCTTTACTTCTAACTGCCTCTCCTTGCCTGTCAGATTCCTGGTATGTGTCCACATGGTGTGTCCGCACCAGCCCTTATCCTTCCTCAGTCTCACTCATCAGCGTCAGATAAACATATGGCCCATGGGGACATTTTATACATTGACTATCCTGACTTCTTCAGAGAAGAATCACTACTATAATGTATGGAATCTTCAACTGTTAAAGTGAACATTTTGCTTTTTATGAAAATTTAGTTTGTTAAGCTTGTTTACATTTAGTCTAGATTAGACAGTAAAATACATTTATTCTAATGTTCACCAGACTACTTTTTTTTTATTTCGTACTTTTATTTTAAATGTCTGTAAATACTATTCTTATAAAATCTTTAATTTCCATGGATTGCTATGTATATTTTCCTAGTTAAGTATTAGTATTCTGTCTCAGACAATGTTAATGTACTATTTTGTATTTACTGAATGAAACAGAAATTTTATGTAGAAGTTTTAAAATATTGGTAATTTGTCTATCTTCCTTTCTTATATTTAAGTTTTATATATACTCATTTGTCAATTAAGGCATAAACAGTATTTGCAGCAACAGATAAACCCCAAACTCTCAAGGCTTAATTAGATAGAAGCTTCTCAATCACATGAAGTCCAGTCACTGGTGGGAAGGAGTTTCTCCTCCACACAATTAGAGCCCCAAGTTGACAGAGGCCCTGCCTTCTTTATCATAGGATTCCCATGTTCTTGACATTGTCCAACTAGTATATGAAGACAGCATAGATTGTATGGGTGGTTTGTAATGGATTAGGCCTGAAAACATTGTAAGTCACTCTCATTTCAGTGGGTAGAACTCAGGCATATGGCCACACCCAGCTGCAGGGAGGCAGCTATACTAGCTAGCTGTGTTTCTAGAAGGAAATGAAAATAGTCTTGGCCAAAATTCAGGCATTCTCTACCACAATTTAACTTCTTCCAGTTACAAAAGTATAAATTCTTATTGTAGAAAATGTAAAATATAGAAAAGTTCCCAGAGACAACTGTTGTTAACATTTTCGTATATTTTCTTAACAGTGCATTTTTTTCAATGCATATTTTTCCCATGATTGTTTGTAAAATTTCTGTTTTTTAACTTAAAATATTAACCATTTTCTCATGTCATATAAATATAATTTTATATTTATTGAGTCCTGCTGTGTTAGTAGGAAACAGCAGTGAATAAGACAGACACTATTGTATGGAGCCGACTTTGCAAAAGTAAAGTAATGGCTACCTAATATTTCATTGTGTGGGATATACCATATTTATTTAATCATCATCCTATTGTTGGAAATAGTTTGTTTTTATTTCTTTTTCTTTTTTTGCTACTAGAAATAAAGCTATAGGCAATATATTTATACAGAAAGCTTTCCTCTTATTTTGGTTTATTATCTTAACCTTGTATCCTAGAAATGAAATTACTGAGTCAAAGGATAGGAACACTTTAATAAGACTCTTGATATGTATTTCTAAATGACATTCTAAAAGACTGTAACTAACCATACAAAGCAATGACAATGAATACTATACTCTTGTCATCAATGAGTAGTATCATTTAAAAAACAGTTCCTTGTTTTGGTGAACACGGCTTCTTTTTTCCCCCTAAATGTTATTTGAAGGGTGAGAGAGGAAAGACTAGTTAAAATAGTAATGTATGTCCATAGTAGAAAATACAGAGAATATAAAAAATTATAAGCGTCCTGTCATCACTTAGAGGTAGAAACATCATGATTTAATTATGGTTGAAGCTCTTTAATGTGTTCTCCTTTTATGATGTGAGCCCTGTGAGGGCTAGCACCTTGTCTCTAGCAAACCGCTATATCCCCGTTGTGCTCCATCTTGGTGGTGTCTGCCACGTATAGGCACTCAGTAAATTGTTTTTGAATGAATAAATGAACCACAGTAATATTCCAGTATATTGCCTTTTAGACTTTTTTCTTTACCTATATAAATATAGATGACATTTTTATAACTCATTAAATAATTTTAAACCTTCTTTAGTAGGCATATAATTGTTATCATATGGGTATCTCTATTTTAGGACTGTTTTGTAGTTTTTGCTTATAATTTGTACCTGATATTTCCAAGTTGGTTTCCTAACAGACTGCAGACTGCATAGTTAGGTTGAGTTTCTTAACCATATTCTGATCAAACATCTCTTTTAACCAACTTTTAGTAATTTACATAAGAGTGATTGAAAACCTTAGGGTTTACAGACAAATCACCAACATCTACCATCTGTTATATTGATTTTACCATCTATTATATTGATCTTACCTAATGAATTACATTTAACAATGTAGTGGTATTGAGAAAGATTGTTAAGAATTTCATTTTTGTATGTTACCTTTATTTTGTAAAATCAGCAAGTCCCCCATCGTTATTAAATTCATTTTCATTTTTTTTAATACTCAAGTCGAATAAATGTGGAAAAAATTAAGATCTCAGTGCTCAAAGTTCGAAAAGGCTAAAAAAAATTGTCCCTTAGTACTGAGTCTTGGGGAAAGGAAACTTGAGATAAAGATCTTCCTATTTTTGTACTGAATTTTTGTTTTTTCATCTGTAGAGTAAGTTATTTTTGTTATTCAAATCAGATTGTAAAGCAAGCTGTAGTTAGCTCCTGGATCGCTTTCCAGATGATTTCCATCTTACTTACATAGACTTTATAGAATATATTGTTATATATTAATACTTGATGAGGTAAATTGAACATAAAATATTATTTTATTTTTTCTTTAAACAGGTAATAAAAACTTTAGATCCCAAATTAAATCCAGCATCTGCTGAAATAATGCTACTTAGAAAACAGTTGTCAGAGAAAGAAAGAAGAATTGAGATTCTGGAGGTAAAATTTCAGTATTTACTCATCTCCTGGTAATTAACTGCTATCATATATTTTCCGTTAATTATCAAGTTTTGCAAGAAGTTAGAAATAGGTTTTAGTACTCGGTATGTTTATTACAAAGAATCTCAGTAGCTCACAATATTGGTCTCTGTACAGTTTATTTACCCTGTTTACATGCTGCATTGTATCGCTGTCCCTGTGTAACAGCCAAGGATATGGATATCCCTGATTTTCTAGTAAAGCCCTGTTGTAATGATCCTTTTAAAATTCTGTCCATGCGATTTTCATTCAGAAATTTGAAGAAGAAAGAAACTAATCTCACATTTTTAAAAACGGAACTGTGTTCATTCAGTTAACCAGCTTTATCTTATCCTTCTTCCTGACCTAATCTTAAACAAGCTTATCAGTTGGAATTACTGGTAAAGGAAGTACTTTCTAGATCCCAGTAAGCCCTTGAACTAAATGGGTAATCTTGATTATTAGTCTTGCAAAGTTGTGTTAGTAATGGCACGCTCTTATTAATTAGCTGTACCTTTAATTTTTAAAGTTATTTTTATGCTAGTTACATCAGCAACAACAAAGTATGTCAATATGGAATTGTATAATTGTATAATTTTTAGATTTTACAATTGGGAATATTCTAGTTTTATTTATAAAGTATTTCAAAAAACTACTCTTTTTAATACTGTGGTGATATTTTGTGTTATTTTTAAAGACAGTATAAACGTCTTCATAACAGCGTATACATGATTGCAGAGCAGTGTTGAATTCTAAATACTGGGCTTGAAATTCTTGTAATTGATAGTTGGTTTCTTTTTAGATTAACTAGGAATGCTGTGTTTCAGAGAAACACATTATATTCACTTACTGTTGTTTATACATACAAATTATTCATTTCTGAGCCAGTACATAGGGACTGCTGTAGAAATATTTTTGTTTAAAAACTTTAACACTCTTCTCTTCCCTACATCCAGAGTACACACTAACCTGATGTGTACTTGCTATAAAAACCTTTGTCCAAGTCATGTAAGAAGGACTGGATAGAGAAATCTCATGGAAGAATACTGTTAGTTCTTCAAGATCCAACTCAAGCATCAGTTCCTCTAAAGCTTCCCTGTATCCCTTAGGCAGAGTTGCTTATCTCTCCATGTGATTCTATGTGCTTTGAACTCACTGATGCATCCCACAGGAGCATTGTTTATCTTATTGGCACTTGCCAGTGTCTTGAGGGCAAAGGTTTGCCTTATCTATCTCTCTATATCCAGCATTATATCTTACATACATCAGGAAGCTAGGGTTACAGTTTTACTGGTCACTTCTTCACTTCTTCTCCTTCCACTTCAGACTCCTTATCTGTAAAATAATGACACTGAGACTGGATAATCTCTGAAATCTCAATTTCTCTGATTATTTACTTCCCAGTGAAAGCCACAATGAGAATACACACTACTGTTGGTATTTGAAATGCAGCTATGACAACCAAATGGTGCATCTAACTATAGGGCTCTGAGGAAACACCTCAGTTAAGTCACAGCATATGGGCATTCAGTATATGTGAATTCATCTCTACACACTGCACAAAGAAAAAGGAGAAAAATAACGTCCATAGCAGAGGTCATTTGGTCTCCCATTCGTCTCTGGGAGTCTATATCTGGAGTGGGTGTTAGCTGGGAGAAGGGCTCTCACCTCCCTCGTTTGGGCTTGATTCCTGTATGCTTTGTGTACCATGAACATCTTGCCTTGCCTGAAAGAAGATGCATGTGTTTCAAGATAATATATTTTTTAATATAAACCTACTATATCTGGTGATCAACCAAATTAAAAAATTACCTGTATTAGAGTAGATAGGAAATAGGTGGCAGATAAATAGGGTTGTCAGGATGACTTCAGAGATGAAAATTTGTGCAAAGTTTATGGGGGATTTTAAAGAATTTTCCTGGTTATTTTTTACCATGTCCCCTTTCTCCTCAGTCAAGATACAGCTAGATACAGCTCTACTGTTTTGTTGCCTGAGCTAGTTATTACCTTTATTTCTAGACATAGGGAACTGTAGCATAAGAATGACTTGTTTGTATTTGGAAAATGACGTTGTTCTGCCAGTCACAGATCCTGTTCTTTCCTAAAGGTCTTGTTGCATGCATTTCTGCATGATTCCATTTACGTTTTGACTGTTTTTGTGTCTCACAAATTCATCCCTCAGATTCTGTCAATAATGAAGAAATGATTCAGTTTTTATTGTTTGTGATGGTCTCTACGATTTTTAACAGTCCTCATATCTTTTTCCAGAGTGAATGTAAAGTAGCAAAATTCCGTGATTATGAAGAAAAACTCATTGTGTCTGCCTGGTATAATAAGGTGAGTTGAAATTCAGCTAATTATTAGATGTCTAGAACAGTGTTTATCAAATATTTTTGACCAAGAATCACAGAAAAAAATATATTTTATATCATTAATAAGTACATATACATCTTTATGTATATAACAGAGACAGAAGTTACCCTGACTGTACATTGCTGCCTTGCACTCAGATATTTTCTGATGTATCTTCCTGTATTTTTTATATGTTGGTCATAATCTACTAAATTGATTTTATGACTTATTAATGTGTTACCATCTTTAGTTGATGATCATGAAGTACAAGGTATAAGAATTTATATTTATTTTTGTAAATTGCTTATTTGAATTTATGCTCCATAAAAGGTTTCTGAAGAAGTGTGTAACGCAGAATCAAGTGCTTCTGATACTCAGAATTTATTTTAATATCCTCTAAAGCCCCTCAGTGTGTCCTTCACTGTGTTTGTATCCTTTTTCATCCAGGGAATACACGTCAGTATTGTCTATCTGGAAACGCTGGTGGCATATGGTGGCATAGTGGTTAAGAGCTACGTCTGCTAACCTGAAGGTCGGCAGGTGGAATCCACCAGGCGCTCCTTGAAAACTCTATGGGGCAGTTCTACTCTGTCCTGTCGGGTCGCTATGAGTCAGAATCGACTCGACGGCAGTGGGTTTGGTTTTTGGGTTTATTGTCTATCTGTCCTACCTACTAAGGAAAAAAAAAGTATAAAATAATTTGAAATGCATTTTTTTGGTCATCTTTTATTTTATTGGAAACCCTGGTGACATAGTGGTTAAGTGCTATGGCTGCTAACCAAAAGTTCGGCAGTTCACATCCACTACGTGCTCCTTGGAAACACTATGGGGCAGTTCTACTCTGTCCTATAGAGTTGCTATGAGTCGGAATCCACTCGATGGGTTTGGTGTTTTTTTTTTTTTTTTAAATCTCTGAGATATTTTCAAGAGTAGCATTTCACAGTGTATATAGTTCTTTTGGTTTATTATAATCAGCTACAATAGATAAGGCAGCTGTTACCTATTTCAGCTGCTGCTTATTTAATGAGGGAATATCATTTTACAGACTCCCCACGTGAACCCTATGGTTTACCTACATATAACTAGTTGCCCTTCCTCAAACATGTCTTGTTCTTTCATGCCACCATGCTTTTTGTCTGTGCTATTCTCTCCATTTTTTTCCTCTCATCTCTGTTAAAATCTGGGTTTAATTTAGCAGAACTTTGAAGGAAATTACTCTGTGAGGTGTTCCCAGAACCTTCCCTCATGAGTTAGTCATTAAAATCTAAGATGGGGAACTATGTAGTATTTTCTGTGTTCCTCTGTGACTTCTTGTATGTAAATCAGTGAACATAATAGAGACAAATAATACATTATTTATTCATTTTTTTCAGCATGTATTTGTTGAGCATCTACTGTATTCCATGCACTGAACTAGTTCTAGCGATACTAAATTCAGTAACATTGTGTTATTATGTGACCTAGTAAGAGAGAAGTAATGGCTTTCCTTACTAAGAAGCCCAGTAGCAGCAACCACAGTAATTTGTCATGTTTCAACATGTAGGTAGACTATCGTAAGTTTGAATGTTGCCAGTGGTTCTCAAACTTTAGCATGCGTCAGAAGACGTGTTAAAACACATATTGCTGGACCTCGCCTGTAGAGCTTCTGATTCAGCAGAGTCCAAGAATTTCTATATTGAACAAATTCCCAGTGATGCTAATGTTAATTTAGGCACCACACAGAGAGAGCACCTATTCTAAGCTTTTCTATTGTGTTGTGTCTTGTCGTAGGTGGTGGAGTGATAGCACAAACACAAAAATTTCCTTTGGAAGTTTTCCTGTTCTTACAGTTAAGCTTAATTCTAGCACATTATTTTAAGCTACCGTTTTTAATAGTTTCAGGTTTAGTGGATTAAAATAGAGAAACTAGATTTTATTCCTTTTTTTCTCCTTAGCATTACTGTATACAGATTAATTTGCTTTTCAGCCCTGATTTTTCTCCTATAAAAACGTGGAAACTCAGCTGGTGATAGGGAACCCAAGGTTAAGTAAGGATATTGTTGATGTGTTGTGAGATTGTTAACCATTGTCATAGGGCAACATTTGTAGTAACTGTTAAATGAGAAACTATGTTGTTCTATAAGCCTTCATCTTAAGTGAGAATAACAGCACAATTGGAAGAGTATAGTCAATGTCACTGAACTGTGTATGTAGAAATTTTTGAAACGGTGTATCTTTGCCTATGTGTATTTTCACCAAAAAAAAAAAGGTTGAGAATTTAGAGGGTTAATATGTTCTGGGGTTGTTAACCAATGTCATAAAACACAACGTGTACTACTGTTTCATGAGAAACTATTTGTTCCGTAAGCCTTCACCTGAAGTACAACAAAATATATAAAAAAAAAAAAAGTGGAAACTCCCAGCCTTACAGTATTGTTTTGATGATTAAATGACTTTGTATTTATGAAAAGCACTTTGTAAACTCTAAAGGCTATATAAATATTTAGTCATGTTATTTGTTTATTTTTTATTTTTCCAGAGTCTGGCATTCCAGAAACTGGGAATGGAATCTAGACTTGTGAGCGGCGGTGGTGCTTGCAAAGACTCTGGTACCTGTATCCCTGCACGGTCTTTCTTAGCACAGCAACGACACATCACCAACACCAGAAGAAATCTCTCTGTTAAAGTTCCTGCCACAACATCTGATTAAACTGCAAAGGAAAACATAAACAGAAGTGCCCTTAAAATATTTTATGCCTTTCAACTAATTACCAGGTTGAAAAGAAAATTTATAATGCTGAATATCAGCTATTTTAAAATCAAAATGCATGAAATTAATTTTGCCAGCCAACTTTGAAAACAAAGTGTAGAATTAGCAATCTCTCTTGGGGAACACATTTGAATAATTGGCAAATGTAATTAGACACACATCTTAAACACATTTGTCTTTTGAGAATATTTTACTTTCAGATTGATTTTGTATATTTTAGTTGAATGTTTTCAGTTTCATTAATTTAGTTAATTTGTAATATATAATCAGGAATATATAACTTAAAAGCATCTATTTTTATTATTAATTTTTTTTGGTCCATAGACAGTCTTGAGATAGGCACATAGAGAGCTATCCAAGGGTGATTTGTTTGACTTGATATATACAAGTTTTTACTTCTGTCCTTCTAATTTTGTCATTGATTAAGTATATCATGTCATTGATGCTAGAACTTTTGGAAGACTTGACTGTTGAAATGACTTTACCATAGTAAAAGTGAATACTGTAATTGGCAGTTTTGCAGATTCAGAATAGGTTATAGTTCTCATATGTACGTTCTATAAACAAGGGCTTATCTACAGCTTAGTTGAAATGTTACAGATGTAAAAACAAACTGACCTTTTTAAGAGGTAACTTTCTGATGGTCATCAATCTAAAAAATATACTTTGTGTGAAATGTCCACATACTTTTTAATATATTAGTGAGCAGTTTCAATAATTTCTTTTAAACATTGCAGATTATCAGGGCTTCTGCCAAAAAGAAAGACACATCATTAAATACAGAAAATACAATGAGGAAACAACTTACAATTAGTTTGATTTTGTTTACTAAGGAGTCTATCTTGCGCTGAGTTTGTTGTATTCGGTTCATTTCTACCAGAAGCTCTTGTTTGCAAAGATGTTACTCTCTCATTTATTTTGGTCATCATTTTTAAAAGTCACCACTTCGGAATTTTAATTTAGTTGTGCTAAATCTGTGCTGTTCAAAACGATAGCTGTAAACCACACGAAGCAATTAAAATTAAAAATTCAATTCCTTGGTTATACAAACCACATTTCAAATTCTCAGTAGTCACATTTCAAAATAGCTGCCTGTACTTAGTGACTACTGTATTTGACAGTGCAGATATAGAACATTTTTGTCATTGCCAAAAGTTCTGTGGACAGTGCTGCACTAGATCTTACAATAACTTAGAAACACTCTTTGGTGTTAGACCACAAAAATAAAAAGAAGAAAAATATTAGGACTATTTCAGATATAAGAAGTAGTTGTGATATAACTAGCATCCTACATTCCCTACAGTTGAATACCTTATGTTGTCATAGCCATAGTTAATCTTTTCAGTGCTGTTCAACAAATACATAGCTATCGGGGTTGGTAGACTTTCTGTAAAGGGCCAGGTAGTAAGTATTTCAGGCTTTGACGGCCATATGATCTCTGTTGCAGATCAGCTCTGTCATTATAGTGTGATAGCAGATATAGACAGTATGTAAACAAATGAGTATAGCTGTATCCCAAGAAAACTTTTTTTTTTAAAAAAACAACAACAAAAACAGATTGCAGGCCATATTTGGTCTGTTGGCCGTAGACCCCTGGTCTAGACTTTTATTTTTAGCCTTTCTTTTAAAATATGAGTATTGTTCCATTCACAGTATTATTTATTTAAATATCCAAATTTTGGGTTCTCCCCCAATAATTTTTTAATCACTGAAGATACAAGAATTTCATACTGCATTTGGATCTCTTATATTAGGTAGTATCTGTCAGGGTATTTTGTTTTATCAGGGTTACTTCTGTTGACTACCTCTTGGATTTTGATGTGTGTTATCAGTGCAGTTATATTGTTGGTTTGCGTTTTCATATGCTCTTGTAGTCTCTGCTTGCCTGTGACTTTTAGTGACATGAAATAAGCCTTTGAAAATACTTTAGCATGCTATTTAAAATTTTCTAAATATTAATGGCATTTCAGTATATTTTTGTCAACAAAAACATCTGCCCCTTTGGTATTTACTACTTGCTTATAACTGAGATATTACAAGCTTTTCAAACTCACTTTTAATGGAATTTATTGTAAAACATCAGTTTCAATAAATTAATATTTTCACAGTTCAATTGCTCATAATAAATTTTAGATTATTTGGAATTTCTGAATAATTCATGCAAATTCTGAGTAAGAACCTGAGGCTAGATCCCTCTTTCTTAATAGAGAAAAGACAAATTTTCTGATTTATCATTTTTCTAGTTGATAAGTAGAATTTAGAAAGTTTGATATGTAAGTATTTATACAAGACTAATGTTATTTAAAGTTCTATATTATTGTAATTAATCATACAGAAATTCAGGAACTGATCAGAAGTGAGATTCTTTTCCACATCTGGTTAATGTAGTGAGATCGACACCCTGTGGGTGGTAAAGCATTATAAATATTTCATCATCAACTATGATTTATACACATCTGTGTTGTAAGGGAGGCTTGAGTGCATATACTATGGAAGAAAAAGTCAACATTTATCTATCTGATTAGGAATTAAGTGGCTCAGTGATTATAAAGTAAAATTGTAGGCCAATTTGGAAATTATCTTTAGTTTTGAGCATTAGCTCTAAGATTTATATTCATTTCTCTCTTTTTAACATAAAAAGTGTATACACATATAACAATGATACTTATTCTGTGATTCATTACATGTATTGAGAAATATTTGAAGTTGATTATATTTTTCCAGTGAGTAAGGTTGTTGAACTAATGATTTATGTAAATTAAGAATTTATGACTTGTGTCTAGAAACATTAAAATGAGCATCCCTCGTTAAGATGGCATCATCTTTGATAACTTGAGTGCTAATTTAAATATTAGGTAATACTACATCTACGCCTATTTCTGTTTAGTGGCACATCTGCCCTATGAGATGGCATTTGGGCCACAGTACTGTGTGAGGTTCTCTATATGTATATTTAATGAGAAACATTCCTATGTAAAAATGTGTGTATATGGATTGTATGCATACATTCCTATTGTGAAACTGTACATTGAAAAGAAGTAGTTTGGAAATTCGTAAAGCACAATCATAAAAGAAAGTAGTATGCGTTATTAAACTTGAGTTTAAAGGTAATAAATATTTAGTTTATAAAAGGTCCTTTCTATTTTCTATGGTAAAGACTTTGACACTTGAAAAATAGAAGCAATACTTGATTTATTTTTGTAAGTACTTAGGACGTTATTTTGAACAAATGATTGTCCGATAACAATATGATAGTTGTTAAATGTTTTAAGTAAATAAACTTCCTGCTTCTGTGGTCTGATGGTTATGATGGGGTTGTAGTGGATACAAATGTACATTATTTACTGCTTTAAATAAAGGTCTTAAATATTTGGATTGATAAAGTACATTGCATTAATTTTATTCTAATGTTTTTTCCTTTAAACACATATTTGTCAACGAAAGTATGTGTAAAAGTGATTTTTTTTCCATGTTCTCCAGTTTCACCACTGTAAGCTTGACATCCTGCATTAGCATGGAACCTACAACATTTTTCTTTGGCAGAGACAGATACTTATCACTCAATATCTACTCTCCTTTTCCTTTACTAATAGAATCCCAAATTTTAGCTTGTTACATTACCATCCAGAAAATTAAAAAGAGAAAAAAAGATAAAGGAAATAAAAAAAAAAATACTTCCCAGACTTTAATACGTGTGGCCATTTGACTGAGTTCTAGCCAGCAAGATTTGTGAGTAATAGTGATGGGTGCATATTAAAACACTAGGCTTGCTTTCCCTAGTCCTCTTCCCCTCCCCGCAGCTCTAATGCTGGCCCAGAGGATTTCTTCAACCATGTGGCTGAGGGTAACACTCTCAAGCACAGTGGAATAACAAGATAGAATTTGGGTTTCTGAAACCACCATTTAACTCTATCAGCTGTGGATTTCCTGCCCAGATCTCTCTTGTTTAAGGTACTTTTTTAAAGCTACTCTATTTGGGAGTTTCTTTGTTCCAGCATCCTAACTCATTTACCAATTCTACAGGTTTGCCAAAAATGAGTTGTGAAATTGATTTATAGAAAAGTGTAGGTGTGTTCCATGCCCTATATTGTCTTAGAAAAGTTTAATTCTGTTGCTGTTAATGGATGCTCAACATTTAATAATCACATGAATGATAAAGTGAGTGTCCCATGTATGCAAGGATGGAGACAAAAGTGAAGTCCTGTTTCACTTTAGGCAGGTCTCCATGATCCCAAAAGACCACGATTGTATGAACATAACTTTCTGAATGACTTTTTGTACAATAAATGTTAGCCTTACTAACAACACACTATTTTGTGATAGATTCAGTAAGAATGATCCAGGGTTCTAAACCTGCAGTGCCCAATATGGTAGCTGCTAGCCACACTGGAAATTTAAATATCAGTTTTAATAAATTAAAGTTTGGTTCCTCTGTCACACTAGCCACATTTCAAATGTTCAAAAGCCATATGTGGCTAAGGGCTACCGCATTGGACAACGCAGATATAGAGCATCTCTATCAACACAGAAAATTCTATTGGGCAGCTCTGTTCTAGATATCTAGGTTGAATATACACATTTCACATCTCTCTCTGAAGTTCCAGGTGGTTTGGGATCACAGAAATGTAGCAGAATTAAGCTTTCAGACATCACACCGGAACACAGGGATAGGGCTGCAGTTGGACTGTGGGCTGGCTGTGGCTCCAAAGGTGAAGCAGCTCCATTTGCATCTTCTTGAACTGCAGCAACTTGCTGCTCTGTGAGTAGTAAAATCTGCAGTGTAGACCTCTTGCCCTTTGCCTTAACTCAAACATCCCCCTATTCCAATAAAGCGCCTCCACGATTTCTGAAGATGAGAGGTCCGATTTTCTAAAACTTTTGAAATCTTTGTCTCAGTGTCATTAATGTGGTCTGCCTTGTTTGTTTGTGTTTGCCCCAAAGACTTGAGTTTCTTGAGGTCAGGGGCCATGTCTGGTTCATCTCTGTTTCTTGCATAGCACTTGGCACACTGTCTTCTACACAGTCAGCAGATACGTGCTGCACTGAAGTAGGTTTGGCAATTATGGACAGAATGTTTTCTTTAGAAATCCAGTCTGAAGCTGTCCTGAAGAGCTCAGGGAGATGTAGTACAGTATCTGGATAGGCAGGGAATTAGAGCTGGGTTTTCATGTCAGTCCCACGACTCACCTGAATATATCCCTAAGCATCTTTTTTAGCTTTATCACAGGTCAGATATTTTTTATGACAGCTTTTTGAGATATTCATGTACCATACAATCCTTTTAAAATGTACAATTCAGAAATGTTTAGTGTATTCAGAGTCGTGCAACCATTGCATTACCAGTACCCGTTAATAGTCACTCCCCATTCTTTCCTCCCCACCTCCCTCCCCTGACCCCTGCTGACCTTTGGCAACCACTAATCTATGTTATATATCTGCCTATTCTGGACATTGCATATATAGAGAGTTATGTGATCTTTTGTGACGCTTCTTTCACTTAGCATAACGTTTTCAAGGTTCGTCCATGTTGTAGCATGTATCAGTATTTCATGTTATAAAATAATATTCCATTTTATGGATATACCACATCTTTTGTATTCATTCATCAGTGAATGGACATTTGGGTTGTTTCGATTTTTTGGCTATTACAAATAATGCTGCTGTGAACATCCACGTACAAGTTTTTGTGTAGACATGTTTTCAATTCTCTTGGGTAATTACCTAAAAGGAAAATTGCTGGGGCATGTTATAACTCTATGTTTAACATTTTGAGGAACTGCCAAACTGTTTTGCAAAGTTGCAGCAACATTTCACAGTTCCACGAGCAATGTATGTAAGAGTTCCAGTTTTTGCACATCCTCAACAACACTTGTTATCTTGTGTTTTTATTATTGTACCTATCCTGTTGTTGTGTGCCATCGAGTCGATTCTGACTCATAGCAACCCTATGAGTCAGAACTGCCCCATAGGATTTCTCAGGCTGAGATCTTAATGGGAGCAGAAAACCAGGTGTTTTCTCCTGTGGAGGTGCTGGTGGGTTCAAACCACTGACCTTTCGGTTAGCAGCCTAGGGCTTAACTTTTGTGCCTCCAGGGCTCCTTTTACTTATTCTAGTGGGTGTGAAATGATGTCTCTTTGTGGTTTTGATTTTCATTTCCCTAATGATTAATGCTAAAGAGCCCTGGTGGTTCAGTGATTAAAGCACTCAGCTGCTAACTGAAAGGTCAGCAGTTTGAACCCACCGGACGCTCCATGGGAGAAAGATGTGGCAGTCTGCTTCTGTAAAGATTTACAGCCTTGGAAATCCTATGGGGGCAGTTCTGCTCTGTCCTACACAGTCGCTGTGAGTTGGCATCAACTTAACAGCAGTGCGTTTGGTTTTTTTGGTAATGATTAATGAGGTTGACCATGTTTTCATGCTTATTGGCCATTCATATATCTTCTTTGAAGAAATGTCTATTCAAATACATGGCCTATTTTTAAATTGATATATCTGATTTTGTATTGTTGAATTGAAAGGGTTCTTTACAGAGTGTGAATACAAGTCCCTTGTTAGATAAATGGTTTGCATATAATTTTCTCCTATTGTGTGGGCTCTGTTCTCATTTTCTTGATGGCATTATTTGCAGCATTAAAACAAAAAAAAACAAAAAAAAAAACCTTTGCTGTCGAGTCAATTCTGACTCATAGCAACCCTATAGGACAGAGTAGAACTGCCCCATAGAGTTTCCAAGGAGTGCCTGGTGGATTCGAACTGCCGTTTGGTTAGCAGCTGTAGTACTTAACCACTATGCCACCAGGGTTTCCATTTGCCACATAAAACCTTTTAATTTTGTTGAACTACAATTTATCAATTTTTTCTTTCATTGCTTATGCTTTTGCTGCTGTATCTAAGAAAGCCCAAATCAGGAATCTTTACTATGTTTTATTCTAGGAGTTTTCTAATTTTGCACTTAATCTGTGGTGTATTTTGAAAAAATTGTTGTGTATAGTGTGAGGTAGGGGTTCAGCTACATTCTATTGCATGTGCATATCCAGTTGTCCTAGTACAATTTGTTGAAAAGACTTTTCTTTCCTCATTAAATGGTCTTGGCCCTTGTTGAAAATCACCTGACCATACCTGTAAGTATTTATGAACTCTCAGTTCTATTCCATTGATCTATATGTCTATCCTTATGCCAGTACCACATCCTTTTGATTACTGTAGCTATGTAGAAAATTTTTAAATTGGGAGGTGTGAATCCACCAAGAATCCTCCAAATCTGATCTTTTTCTTGATTGTTTTAGCTATTCTAGATCCGTTGTATTTCCATATGAATCTTAGGCCAGCTTGTCAATTTCTGCAAAAAGCTAACTGGTATTTTGATCTATCAAAATTGATCGCAGATCAATTTTGAAACCATTACCATCTTAAAGGAAACCCTGGTGGCATAGTGGTTAAGAGCTACAACTGCTAACCAAAAGGTTGGCAGTTCAAATTCACCAGGCGCTCCTTAGAAACCCTATGGGGCAATTCTGTGTCCTGTAGGGTCACTATGAGTCAGATTCGACTCTATGGCAACAGGTTTTGTGTTTTTTTTTTTTTGGTACCATCTTAAAATACTAAGATTTTTTGTACAGAAAGCCATTCAAAAAGTTATATTCGTAGAATCATGGTCTTTTGGGATATTCTGATTCATGAACATGGGATGTTGTCTTACTCTGGGTTCTCTAGAGAAGCAAAATCAGTGAAGCGTATATGTATATTTCAGTGAAGCGTATATGTATGTATATTTCAGTGAAGCATATATATATATATATATATATATACATATCAGTGTAGAACATGGACATGGTGTATAATCCTTTTTCAGTGTTGCTGTATTTGATTTGGTAGTATTTTGAGGATATTTTTTCTGTATTCATAAAGGATTTTGTTTCTTGTGATATCTTTGATTATTGTATCAGGGTAATACTGGCCACATAGAATGAGTTAGGAAGTATTCTGTTTTTTGGAAGAATTTGTGAACAATTGTTGTTAATTTGGTAGAATTCATCAGTTAAGTCATCCTGGCATAGCTTTTCCTTCTGGGAAGTTTTTTGAATATTAATTCAATCTCTTTAGTTATTAGAGGTGTATACAGGTTTTCAGTTTCCTTTTGAGTCAGTGTCTGTAGTTCGTAATTTTTTTAGGAATTTGTCTGTTTCATCTAGGTTATCTAATATATGGCTTACCATTATTCATTATATTCTCTTACAATTCTTTATTTCTCTAAGATCAGTACTGATTTTTCCTCTTTTAATCCTAATTTTAGTAATTTGCATCCTCTCTCTCTGTTTCTCTGTCAGTTTAGAGTTTTAAATTTTTTTTTAGATCTTTTTAAAGAACCAACTTTTGGTTTTGTTGATTTTCTTTGTTTTTTTATTCTGTATTTACTTCCAGTCTAATCTTTATTATTTTCTTACTTCTACTTCCTTTGTGTTAATTAGCTCTTCTTTTTCTATTAATATAGCAGGTTAGAGTATAGATTTGAGATCTTTCTTTCTTTAACTGCATCCCATAAGTTTTGGTATATTGTTTTTGTTTTCATTTATCTCAGTATATTTTCTAATTTCCCTTGTGATTTCTTCTTTGACCCATTGGTTATTTGGGAGTGTCTTGTTTAATAT